TTCAAATCTCTATAAATAAAATTATTATATTGAGAGAAAAGTGTTTACGACTATAATTGTATAGTAAAATAATTACGGTTAAGAGAGAGCTCCTTTTTCATAGTTACTGCTATATAATGTTAGTAATAAAAATTATTACTTTTAACAATAACCATAAAAATGATCCTAATTATTTTATCCTGCAATTATAGTTGTCATAAATATCGAACATTTTTCTCTCGGTATAATTATTATTAATGAATTTTTAATATTAAAACAAAGAGCACTCAAGGCTTTTCCTAGAAGTCGTAAGACTTTTTGAAAAAGATTTATTCCCAGTTCACTCCAAAGAACTTGTTATAATTAAATATTGAGATGTTTTCCTCTAAATGGAACAAATGGCAGATTTGCTCAATCATGAAAACGCACTTTATATGAATAAATTGTGAACATGTTCACGCGGTTTTCTCCACTAAACTGCCCGAATTATTTTCCGTAAGCATCTCGCGCGCGGACCGGTTTATCATATACGAGTCCAGATGCGCAATGGACGGTTTATTAAAACCTCGCCTCGAGCATCGCATCCCAAATATCTCTCGTGCCTATTTCATGCTTATGTGCATATCAATGCGGCGCCTCGTATCGAATATTTATTTGCAAAAGGATCGATAAATCGCCCGCTCTGTTCTACGCCCGCTCTGTTTCGCATGTTTTGGCCTTGCACATCTTCGCGCGGCGATTTCGCGACTCGTAACACGGACATGACCCCGCTCAACCAAATGACAGCTCGGTGGACCCGGGTTATTAAGACCGAAATAACTGCCGCGATGTAACGGTCATGGCCGGCAATTAAATTTAAGTACTTACGGATGCGCGCATCCGAGTCGAGCGGGTGCATCGGACGCGCGCGCGAGCGTTTACGAGCGCGAGGAGGTGAAACGTGTCTGTGAAAACGTATACGATACTATCACTTTGTTCGGCGATACGTAAAAGATAACTGTCAATTAGCAATAAATTCGTAAAAGCAGGATCTTCGGAACAGGTCGAATTATGAGAGCAAAAATCTTCAAAACATCTGCCTTTCAAAACTGTCCGTGAAGTTCAATGCAAATGCAATTATTTTCTAGATGTTTAAATACCTAGAATTTATATATGTGGAATAGTAAGTGCTTATAATAATAAAAAAAAGTATATGCTTATAATAGAAACTAAGGCATTCACACATTCTAAAAAGTATCGGTATATGGATTAACACCCGTACGATGTCCGTATTATAATTCTCATTGTGTTCGATGTTAAATTCATATTATGATATTAACACAATGAGAATATATAGACACCGACTATTTTTTAAAGTACATAATTAATATTATCTGTGTAAAATATCTTAAATACAGTTTCAGCATAAAAAAAAACAATGTCCGACGAAAAATGAAAAGAGAAACATATTCTTTAAAACTTTTAGAGATCTTACTCTCAAAGATTGAAAATTGAGCCACTCTTTTTTAAGGATGATTTCATTTTCACTTTTTAAAATGAAATTCCACTCCAAAGAATTTACAAAAACCTTTTCGGATGCTATTCTTTCTTAAGTGTCCGGAAATGTACATTAAGCATATCAGTTAAACATATACGGTGTATTAACATTACATCAGAATTAAAACTGATATATTGTAATGTAGTACAAAATAAGGTTGTCTTTGAAAATATAAAATGCAGGTATAAAAAGTATATAAAATAAGACTTTGCAAAATTATAGGAAGAGATAATCTCATTGAAACATATATAACTAATATATAGTATGTGTCATACATGCGCAAAACGCATTTTCGAATTTTTGTAAAGAGAGAAATATAATCTTCTAAATCTAAAGAATACACAACTTTATTTGTTGCCAGTCTACATCTATGAGATCTATATTAAAATATTAATAAACACATGATGAAATAAATATAATATATTTAACTAACAAAGCAAATTATATCGAAAGACTACGAAACAAAAATCTCGGCCAAAGTTTTCGTCTTTTATTTACAACAGAAAGGAAAATTCTTATCGACGACGCAACGGAGAATACTGCGCAGAATGCAATCTTCCACGAATACAACCCGTGGCTCCATCTTACAATACACGAACTCATCTTCACCGTCGCTCGTCCGTGGATCACCAGGAATATCTGGATCGCCGTGTTCATCGATCACTTTTGTCACGGGCCGCGCGAGTTTATTTTCGCAGAGCGAGAGGTGGCGAGAGAAGGGACGATCGTTAACGGCGCCGGGGCATACGGGACGTATTTCGCGCTTTTTGTTAGGTCTCTTATTTTTTTTTTTCTATCAGACCCGCGAGACCACCTGTCGCTTTACGCTGGCAATTATGTTCGCGCGATTGCAAACGGACGCGGGATAAGCGCAAGCTTAATCGGATCTCGTGCGATCTGTCGCGAAAGTTCGTCGCGAACGCACGTTCCCAGGAACGCGCGCTGCCGCGGCGGCTTCTACGACGATGGAAAAGAAACGTAATCGCCCAGGCCAACGAACAACCGTGGCCTCGGCTTCAGGGTCGTTTCGACTATTATCCCGCAGCAGTCGAGGATGCAGCAGAAACGCATCGTTCGGAGGCCGCGCTTGGTACATCCGCTCGAAACCGGCGATACTCACGATTCAGTATTAGAATACCGTATACAGTGTATACATACACCATACTTTGATTATCGGAGTATGGATATACCTTCCTTCGATATCTCGACTTAAATTACTACTTAACATATCGTATTTTTAAGTTAATTCTACCGTAAGATTGATAACGTGAAGTGCTGATTACAAGATTGTACACTGATAATAATGTAATTATGTCCTTCCTGATTTTAATTGATTCTCGTCAGTTATTTGTTAACTGGCATTATGAAATCGTATAGAAAAGAAATATAAAATTGATATCATGGAATTGAACGTTTCATGTCATAGATTACATCTATCATGTCTTATACTTAAAATGTTATGCTTGTTGAACTTTCCAGTAATATAAACACAAATTATATATACTCATATAAAATTTCTATTCAATTTTCATTGAATAAGGTTTTTTCTTCGCTTGTTTTGTGTAAAAATTTCTGTATTTTTAGAAAAAAGTAAGATTGTACACATATCACTATTTTAAATTTCCCCTATTTAATTAATTCTTATTTCTTGTTTCACAAGCTTCTTTTTTGCATTTGCAGAATCTTTACTTTCTTTCTTTCTGCAACGCTCAAACGTATATATTTGTTTCGCTTTAAGTAAAAAATGTTTAGAAATTTCAAGCAACACGAACAAACTACTTGGAGAAACCGTTCATTGTTTTATTTCATCACGTTTTTTCTTTGGGTGAACGTTTTGAGGAATTTGTATTCGCGAGATTCGAACGATTCCTGATAATCCTGATTCGGATGGAAGATGGCCAGTCGCGGGGGATAAAGAAAAATGCTGCGGACGTTCTAGATTCCGCCAACGTGTAACGACCCCGGCGAGAGCGCCTTGCATCCCGTGACGGTATTAACCTCGCCGCGGGCACGTGTTCCGAGGAGCGAGTCCTCTTTTATTACTTATTAGCGACACCCAAAGCGCATACTGACTCCACTCTCGCATCGCGCGCGCTGGCGATGCGATTTTAATGATGTGTTTCAAGGTCCCAAGGTCTCTGCCACGGATAAGCTATACAGGGCCGTTGCCGCCTGATCCCGATGACAGCTAGCCTTAGCTGTAGAAATTTTGATATCACTTTTTGTATCGATACCTCCGCAATTGGAGATCGATTCTACAAAATGTAACACACGTTCTATTTATTTCTAAATTCTTTGGCAGTTTATTTGTGAAGATATTTTCTTAACTAACTTTCACTAATGTCGCAAATTTTTAAAAAAGTACCACAAAAATGAGAAATTACTTCCGTTTGCATACAATTTATATTCGATATAAATGTACAGAATTATCTATACAATCTTTTCTAAGGAAAAATTATGCAAATCTTACAACGTTAGTGGAAAAATTACATTTAGATAAGAATTAAGTCCACATTGAGAGACGAATCGTTAAATTTCGAAGATATTGTTTCCATTTCGTTGACATCTCATCAAAGGTATCCAAGATCGAGAAAAGAAAGAACTCGACATCATCGAGAGGCCGGGAGGCCGTCATGCCGACGAAACGACAATTTGCAAGGTCCGCGAGCCGCGCTCGTAGACGGCGATACGAGCAAAGAGACCTTCGCGCGATGGTCAGGGCCACGAGGTTCTTGCGCCGAGAGCGTTAATCTCGCGCTACGTGATCGTGCAAACTGCACACGCATTGCATATGCATACGGCGCGGACTTTTTTTGCATTCACCCGCCTGCAATCTCCGCCTGCGTAATCCTTACTCTATCAGAGAGATACGGTAGATCCCAAAAAATCGTAATCTCGAAATCAGTAGAACGAGATAACATCACGAAAGAAAAAAATAACTATTCTAATCGTAATTCCTTTAATCAAATCTTGACACTTATTTCTTTAATTAAGTAAAATATCAAAGCACTATATAAGAAAATAAAATGTAATCAAATAATGAAACCTGTTATATTTAAATCTAAATTTTTCGAAACGGATTAATTGAATAGTTTAAAATTTGAATATTTAATGTATATTGAGTTGTAGAGTGCGTTTGATAAAGAATAAATTTTCTTTAGAAATAAATCAATTTATATTTGTCTATCAAAAAAAAAACGTCAAGTGACTCTAGATTGTGTATATACATAAATTATATATATTTAATTACATACATATTATTATTTAATTATTATAATTATGTACACAATTGTAGAGTTACTTTATTATGTATATAAAACATACTACAAGATTAGAATATATGATAACATATATAAATAATAGCATTATTACTTTAAATGTAAAAAATATATTTTATAATATAATAATGTATAACATTTTGAAATATTTTATTTAAGAGGCATTGAGATCAAACCTCTCTTTAATTTTTATGATTTTGTTGCAGAGATCTTAAAATGGAGAACATCGTATTGCAAGACGAACGCAAGGAACAGATCAAGATAGTGGGTGAGAGGCAGACGTGTATACACGGACGTCGACGTATCACGCGGGACTAGAGAACATTATGGTCGCGGTGATTGTGGCAATCGCCATCGATCGAACCGCGTAGATTAGCGTGCACCGCGAAAATCGCAACTATAATGTTTCCGCTCGCGTGACGCTTGATTTTCGAGCGTGAAATCAGATCCACCTGTGCTCGGCAGAGCTCCGCATAAAAAATTGCACTTACGATGAAATTGGCCGCAATTTATATAATTACGCAGAAACATAATGCCCGTTATTCTTAATGACCTTCGACTGCTATATACATATATTCCTACGGTTTATCATCTGATCTCAAGGCAACAAAAATATTATATTATAAATAAAATGTAAAATATTTCTTATTTTTATGGATATAATATTTTTTATTTATAAAAAGAAAAGAATATTTATTATATAATTTAATAATTAAATATTAGAATCGCGGATAATTAATTTAGCTTTAACAGCAATCGAAGGTTAAAAATCTTATTTATAAAGAAAACTTACCAGTTCAATGACAGATGTTTTCCACGATTATAGATTTTGGTCTCAGCAATATTTATGCCAGCGATGATCCTCTACGAACGCACTGCGGATCTCCGGAGTATGCTGCTCCCGAACTCTTTGTCGTAGGTAAACGATACGGACCGGAAGTAGATTTGTGGAGTCTGTAAGTAAATCCAGATTTTATTTTATTAAATTTTATTTTGTTTTAAAAAAAAAAAGTAACTCAAACATCATACAGCATCAAGAAATATTATAAATTTGGCAGTTTGGCTTCAATTATTAATGCAATACCTATGTACATATAAAAGTACATATAAAAGCACTCTTTTTGGCGAAACGTTTAAACACTATACTATGATGTGACAAACAGAGGAGTCATTTTATATGGAATGACTATCGGTCGACTTCCATTCATGTGCCCCCGCGACGAATGGACGTCGTCAGAGGAACGTCGACGGAGGCTGATGATCCAAATCAATAGGGGCTTGACGTCGATCCAGGAAAAAGCTATGTACCAAACGTCAATCGAATGCAAAAACTTAATAAACCGCTTGCTCATTCCATCGTCTCGCGAAAGAATCACTATTCGAGAGATCCTTGATCACCCTTGGATCCTCGTGACATCGAAGAACAACTTTCATTTTCGCTCTGAGAAAGACTTGAACGTTTCCAATCACGTCTCGGTAATACCTATATATGCAAGATACTCCACAATTCTCTATCATAATTGAGGAATTTGGAAAACATGCATAGAAAATAACGGCGTACATTATATTTACGATTTTTTAAATTCTGTATTCGATATTTTTAATTTTATTCTCAAAGAATCATTTTTTTTTCAAACTTTGATGTATTTCAATATTTTTTTAAACCACATTTCAAATTATTTTAATTTGTTTCCCTGAAAATATAATACTTCTATTGTTCACGGTAGATTTATCAGTTTTAACAAATCCATGCTTTTGTTATATTCGTGGTAAAATTTTCAATTTTAATAAACCCTCTTATTTTCATGCTGGCTGCATGTCCTGCGTTATTATGCACTGAATTTTCAATTTTACTGCCGCATTTACTCTGCGGTTTTTTGGTCGACTTTAAAATATACGCCAATTAGTAACGCCATACGAAATACTCGTGTAAGGGGATTGCATCGCTAATTATTGTAGATAGTGAACGAGATCGCGACGGCAATGCGAACAACCACGGCTGCCGTCGAGGCTGAAATAATGAGACGAAAGTATGGAAAAATTGGCGGCATGTATAATATTAAGTAAGTACGCCACAATTAAGGAAAGATATTTTACAGAAAAATTCTTTCACACACGTTATAATTTATTCATATCCAAATGTGTAAACTTTTATATTTAATAGAAAGCACAAATTACAAGCCGCTACCGTTTATCACCTTCCATCAAGACTTCTTCGAAATTCTACATGTCGAACTGAAGACATTTCATCGTCAGCTATAACTATCAGGTGACATTTAAATATATAAAGTATAATTATGTACGTTTTTCAAAATACAAATTTTGAAAAAGTGTTCTTTTAAAAAATATTTCGTACGTAATCGATATTATTTTCAGAGAGAAAAATCCAGCAGAATTTAGATTTAAATAAAATTTAAAGCTTACTGAAGCTTAATTGTAGATTTCCTTTATAACAGACTTATTTATTTTATTCCACATTATATATGTATATTATTCCTATTTTATTACATTACTATTATTTCGTTAAATTAAATAATAATTTAAAATATCTTATATATATATTTATATAAGTATAGCGACGAAAAAGAAAAATTCTTTACTTATAAAAAAAACTCTATATATGTTAGTAATATATTTTTGCAGAACTATTCAATAGCATGAAGATATTTCTTTACTATATTGATATAGAATGGCGAAAAATAATTTACGAAATGATACATCCGGAAACTCTGACAATATCGATGGTATAATCGTCATGCGACACAACCAGGTGCAAGATCGATCAGTCAAAAAATCTTCATTACACGGTTCTACGACGTGGAACTGGCGATGCCGCTCCGGAAACGAAAATCACTCTTCCGAGGAACGAAGAAATTACGTAAAATTCGACTTCCTTACCCTATATCTTTCAGTCCAATGATTACGATCACGTCGATCACACAGAGTCCCTTATAGTCATTGTTAATTTCTCTTTTCAGGGGATTCGTTACGATACCATGAATACCATGTCTTTAACGCCCCAGCAATGTCGTGTGCCGCAAATTACAAAAACTCAGGGCGATAAGCTTTCAGATCGACGATTGTACAGGTATGATAGAGTGCTAAAAGTAGAATTTTTTCACATATAATAGACATACATTAATTGTGAATAACATTATTCGCGTTTGTATAAAAAGTACATATTTAATGTAAATAAATTCGGACCAGTAAAAAGTATACATTTAACATAAAGCCAATAAAAAGTATATTTAAATATAAGTATATTTAATATAAGGCCATAAGCTTAAAATGTGGATGTATATACAATAAAACTTCAACCTTTTTTCTTTTTTTTCAAAAACTTTCGAAGAGTTGAATTGTACGTAGGTAAGAAAAGAGAAGAATACTCAAAACATATTTGAAATTTTATTGTACTTACAGCTACAGCTTATCCTCGTATTAGCCACGTATTAAAGGATCCTATATTTACAATATATTTATATTGAATGTTATGATGAAATGAGTTAATTTTTATATAATTTGATGAACAAAAGGTGTCATAGACACAATGCTTAATAATGCATAATAGTTTTTAAGTTATGTTGTGTTAAAAATTATACGTATAAGCATAAATTTTACACCTTTGTGGTACAACATAGTTCATAAAAATCCACTATTATTAAATCTTGTGTTTACCAATGACATCTTTCGTTCACCATATTATATAGCATTATAAAGCTACATAGTATGTATGTAAAAACTTAACTCATTTCTCATCTCAAATTTTGCATATAACTAATCTATATAATATAAAGGCCTGTTACAGTTATTATGTTAATTGCTTTGATTGTCAACAGAAACGAAACAAAGTCGAGAAGTTCAACATTTAGTAGTATTTCCAAAAAAATGGAGAAAAAAGGTGGTGTCTCTAGGACCTGTGAAGCAAACTGCGAAATAATTCCCAGTCCTTCGAAACTTATTTCCAGTCCTTTGCAAACTTATTCACGTGTTAGTAGCGAAAGCATGCCTGCTTCGCGAATTAAAGTAAGATTCTATATTTTTAAATAAAAACTCCAAAAGCTATGTAAAATTAATTTTCTAAGCAATACCTAATTGTGTCACTCATAAAAAATTAATAGCATTTACAGTTAAATAAGCCGGTCTAGTTTTAATATTTATAGACTACATTATTATATTTTTCAGGAGAGTTTTCATAAAAAGATACTTGCTCCACCATGGCGATGTCGAATTGGTAGTGCAAGAATTAAAAGAGATACATGAAGCTATAAAAGACGCCTTTAGAACGAAGTATGCAAAATGGCAAATAGAAATCCGGTGAAATGTATATGTATCGAGATTAGCTGTTAATCTCGTTAAATTATTTGTAATGCATTAAAGAATCTCAACAGGTCAAAATTGAATTCATTTAACAAATGACTATCATTATAGAGCTATCTTGTATTATTTTTCGTGTAATAATCTGACTAATAAAACTAGTACGTAATATCTTGTAACATTTTTCACTTATTAGTAAAAACTTATTAATAAAAACTGTTCTCTAACTCATACATAAACAAGGATTACCTTTATATAATATAATATTATACTTGTATATTATGTTTTTAATGAAAATGAAAATCAAATCATAATGCGAATAAAAAGAGGAGCATTAACAAAACATTCTAAAAAAACGTAAATTAGAATAATTGTTTTAACAGATAAACTTCTCTTTTACGTTTTGTACTCTAATTTATATCTTCTCCCTAATAGCACATTTTATCTGGGATATATCCTAGGGATGTCCTTAAGGCCTCTGTACACGGTCAGTAATACTGTCAGTATCAACGAACTGACAATATTATTGATTGTGTGTGGTTAATATTAATGGATTGACATAGAATATTGACAATGATTTGGATTTAAATACATGCTTTTTCCTTAAGATCCATGTCGCCATAGATAATAATATACGTCAAATCACGTCAAGCTGAAGTGAAATATTGTTAATAATACCTGATCGTATAAGATTGTAAAACCTAATGCATACTGTCAGTAATACTGATCAGTAATACTGACTCAGTATTACTGACCGTGTAGGGAGGCCTTTAAGATGCCAACGTCCTCTGGACGTCAACGGCACGTTTCTTGGAGGTCTGTGTTGTAGGGTTAATAGAAATTTTGTTTACACTTCTGTTGATCTTCTTAAATTTAATTTGAGTTTACGCACAGTGCTTTTTTCAGTTTGCTTCTATATTGGCAATCTCTAGCTGTTATGCTAGAATTTGTATAACTTGCTAACTACGCTGACTGGTTTACTGGATTTTTTGTGATAGCTCAGACTTTTTTTTTGTGATAGCTCAGAATTTTCTTTTTATATATTTATTCGCGTTACTTATTTCAACATGCTCTAATATGTTTCAACATGCTCCAACATGCTCCAATATACTCCAACAAGCACGTTGCAATGAATAAATAGAAGCTATAGTAGGAGTATGTTGGTGATATAATCAAAATACTCTGCAATAATTAAAAAACGATGTAATTATACTTTTTCCCACTAAACTAACAGTAACATAACATATCAACATTATAATTTCACACTCGACAATGTAACTGTTAAGTCTATGTAATAAGCCTAATGTACAACTGAAAAACATATAGAGAAAAATGCTTTGGTCAAACGTCAAAACCAACAAAAGACCAAAATAGGATTTTAGCGAAACCAAACAGAATTTTTGATAATAAGAGAAAAAAATGATGATAATATTAGAAATGTTGTTTGGTAAAGGTGCCATTCTATATTGAGTTGATGCAATATAAGCAGTTAATACCTAAAATCTGTTGAGCACATTCCGTTGCTGACTGACACCGCCCTTTTCGGAAACAAAATAGTCCATTTTCTCTCTCCCGTATACGAGATACGATATAAAACGCATCCATATATCGTGCTGTACGCTCAAGCTGCAAAAAGACAGGCGTTATAATTATAGAGTTTAGCACATTTCAATCATACAATTTTATTTTCGCTAAGAATAATATCAACGGTGAATAATTATATAACAATACAAGCAGTTTATAGTACTTACCTAAAATTCATCCAGCACTTTCTGTTGACCAACGCCATACTTTTCGGAAATGAAGTGGCATCTTGAGTGGCTGCACGACAAATTTTCTTCACGAAATACGATACGAAACGCATACCGCGCTCTACACTCGAGCTGCAATAAACGTGCATAGATTTTAACGCATTAATTTTAGTCATATAACCATACAAGCCTAGTTTCATCTAGTTTCATGGTTAACTCTCTTAACCAAGATTTAATTTATTCTTCATTTATCTCTTTTTTTACTTTTTAGAATTGAAAAAAGATGAGAAATAAGTTGAACCTTCAGTTAAGAATTAACCGTGAGTTGTGAAACTGGACAAACACCATATTTTGAATTCGAACGACATATACCTACGCTTCGGACCACTCCGGACTAAAAGATAAAAACCAATGGTTGCCACACAAAGAACGTTTATCGTGCTTATCGGGAAAATTGCCGCAGTAATCAATTCTTTTGCTTTTATAGAAAAGCGGTAAATTGACCAGTTTTCCACAGCACAGTAATGACTCCAGCACACTGGACGCAGAAACGCTTGCCGCGCGGCAAAATGTGACGCGGTAACCAATGAGCTTACAGCTCCTACATGTTCATTGGCTACCGTGTCACATTTTGCCGCGCGTTTCCGCGTCCGGTGTGCTGGAGCCATAAGCGTCGTCGCCGCGTTCTGTATGCAAGAGTTATAAAACGTGTTTCAACCTGGCAATTTTAGGATATCGCGGCAAAGGGATAGAAAACGAAAGACCGCCGCGCGCTGAAACGTTTGAAATAAGTCGCACGTCAGTCGGTAAATATGATCGACGGTCGAACAAAAATTATCGATGTAACTATTAGCAAAAAAGCGTCGTGTTGTAAATCTCGAACGTGCGAATATTACAATAAACTTTTCAAAAGCATTGCATTTTTTTAAAGATATTAGAAAGTGTATATAAAAGGAAGATAAACTCGCGGAATAACGGAATACGAAACGCAAGAGCCAATGGCGCGTGCGGTTCGCGGAACGCTCAAGCATCGGCCAATCAGGTCGAACCACATGGACGCATCACTTCGGCTGGTGTCGTTGGCGAGAGAGACAGAGACCAAGACAAGTCAAGACGCGTTGCGTCACATGGGTACATACGTATGTTCGAGCGAGTGACACGGTTGACAAGCATGCCACGCTTTGCCATCCAAAGTAAAACCGTTAAGAACTGCTGCGAGGAGAGATGCTACCGGCATGCTTTTACGATTATTACGTACATAATGGAAAGACCTCTCACGTGAACGTGAAACGCGGGGATGCCACGAACCCCATGAGCGGTATGACACCGAAACTCCTCATCCCTGCCGTTTTCATTCTTGGGATTGTCATCGCTGTTATCAGCACGTTGCTGTCAAAATACATAGGCGGCCTGTCCACCGATTCCACAGGTGAGTTGCAACTGGTATATCTGCCCCTTCAGCGAGAGATTGTACAACTCTATGTTGCCTACCTTTTCTGCCAATTTGCATCAAGAACTTCTTTAGGGCTGAGCACAAAAATTGTCGTAACGTTTACTTTTAGACTTAAGTTATAGATGTAAGCAATGCATAAGCTTTGGCATATGACATGCGACTTGTTGCCACCTATTGGAAACAACAAGTTGTCAAAGCTTGTGTGTTACTTATGTCTACAACTTAAGTCTACAACTTTAGTCTCTTAAGTATTATGACAATTCTTATGCTCAGATCCTTACTTTTGATACAATTAATACAAGTGTTGTACTGTTTTGTTATTCATTGAGCGTCAGAAGAACACAATGATGTTTGTATCAACTGTGTCTACTGAAAGAAAAGCAGCTATAGATGATACAGTGTAACACAGTAAATAATTGGATGCTTTCTATATGGTGACACAAGTCGATACAAGTGACATCCTATTTTTGTTATTTATTGAATGCTAAGAAAGATAGAATAATGTTTGTGTTGACTTGTGTTATTAAGTGGAAAACATTCATTACATCCTTGTTGTTTGCTAATGTTATACAAAGATGAAATGATCACTGTGTTATACTATCTTTTGCTAGAAAGAATCACAAGATGTCTCTCGTTTTATAGTTGTGATGCTATCATTTGCAAGCTATGATTTAAATACAGTTAAAGTCATAAATTTATTCTATTTTTTCTAGAACAGGAATTTTATCACGGTCGTTCTGTGTTTGTGCCGCTTTCCTCAGAAGGTATTTTGAATGTTTATGATGATCATACACTCACCATTTCACAAAGCAACACTGAACTTGGTAAGGTTCAATGTTCTGCAGCGTCGATAACAGAGGCTCTGGCATCTTTGCACTTAGCTCTAGATATGAGATTATCTGGTAAGCAGGAAAAAGCTATAAAATTGTTTCAACATGCAGTGGCATTAGCACCCTGTCATCCAGATGTTTTGAATCATTATGGGGAATTTTTGGAACATACCCAGAACAATGTGATAAAAGCTAATGAATTTTATGTGCGTGCTTTAACTTATAAACCGAATCACGAAGGTGCTTTAATAAATAGTCAGAGAACAGCCCGTGTTGTCGAAGAACATGACAGAATAATGCTTAGACGAATTGATGACAAGAGGAATACACTATCCAACATACCTGATAACAATGCTGCATTAATACGCGCTAAAAAGGAGGCTTACTTCCAACATATTTATCATACAGTCGGGATTGAAGGAAATACTATGAATCTTGCACAAACGAGAGCTATAGTTGAAACACGTATCGCAGTCTCCGGAAAGAGTATTGATGAACATAATGAAATCCTTGGATTAGACGCTGCTATGAAATATATTAATGCGACCTTGGTTAATAGGTAAGTTTATAGAGCATAATATTTTGCATAAGCGACAAAGATATTTTCATTGTTATTAGTTTATTATTCATTATCTATGTAATTATATTTCAGAGTAGGGTCCATCTCTATAAAAGATATACTAGAAATACATAGGCGAGTGCTTGGACATGTAGATCCTGTCGAAGGTGGACAATTTCGAAGGACTCAAGTATACGTTGGTGGCCATATACCTCCAGGTCCTGGCGATATACATTATTTGATGGAGGAATTTGTATTATGGTTGAACAATGAACAAGCCATCAGAATGCATCCAGTGAGGTGTGGAAATTTCATATGTATACATTTATATTCTTATTGCATTTTTAGCTGAGATTTTATGATAAGATTCAACAAATGGACATTAATTAGAAAAATTTACAGGTATGCAGCTCTCGCGCATTATAAACTGGTGCACATACATCCATTCACTGATGGAAATGGCAGAACGTCCCGCTTGCTTATGAATATGATTCTCATGCAAGCTGGATATCCTCCTGTTATTATTCACAAACAGCATCGCCATAAATATTATGAATATTTACAACTAGCCAACGCCGGAGATGTTCGACCTTTTGTGAGATTCATAGCGGAGTGCACAGAGCAGACATTGGATTTATTTTTATGGGCGACCAGCGAATTTTCTCGACAAGTTCCTGCACTGAGTCAAGAGACATTATTTACAGAAAAGCACAATACAATTATTCTAGAAGATAATGAAATAGAAAATAATGTACTAGAAAATGATTGTGAAAACTAATTTCAAGTAGCGTCTAAAGTATTTTTGAGACCAAAGAGCGTTAATATTATTTATACTTGATATTATTTATTGATAATTCCAATTTTAAAAAAAGTTAAACTAAGCTTAAATAACATACATGATTTTAAGATTGATAATTTAAGAAATTTATCCATGGTATTAGAGCTGAAGTGTGCACATATCCTCTGCTCTGTGCCTGTTGACATGTGATCTAAATGTATTGTTACTTATAAGCTGCCAATTTTATCGTGTATCCATGTAAATACGACGAATCTTTCTTCCACTTTGTTCAGTACAAAAATTATATTTATAATGTATATAATAAATATAAATTGCGAAATATGTATATTCTAATATTAAATTAGCGACGTGGACAATCCTATCAATTAATGAATATCATATGTATATAATAATATAATGTATATAAAAGGTTGTTCTTTTCAGTTGAATTAATCTACATTTGTTGTACTTAAAATAGATATATATTTGAAGATTGAAGGAAAAACAATAGAAAAAAAATGTTAGTGCAGCGACAAAAAATAAGTCTAATGATTCTAGTATTTTTTGAATAAATTTCGAAGTGCGCTAATATTGGATGCATTCATTGGATTAAGTACGTATTTGTTGTTATTGGTATATTCTAATTAAATTTAGATGATCTAGAAGAATACAAAAGTAGCGAGCGCTCACAAACAAAATCTAGGTCCATTACATTCTTTCACGACTTTAAAGCAAAACTTGGGCACCGTTGCAATATAAGAATAATTCAATAATCGAAATATATATAAAATCTTTGAAACATTTTTTTATAATTAAAGAAAATGTACTTTCTTCTTTTTCATCTATTTTCTTGATAATTATAAAGCATAATCAATTGTATACGTACGATTGTATCGCTTCCGATAGATTTACCGACAGAATAAATCTGAATTTTGTATCGACTAGATTGTGAAAAATATAAATTAAAAAAATATTTTAAATATATAAAATTAATTATAAATATTCACATGAATATTATAAACTAGATAAATTGAGAAACATCATTTAGAGAAAATAGTTTTTTACTAAATATGAACTGTTGAAGCAATAATGTAATAAAATGATTTTTTACAACCTGAGGCGCGCGCGTAAACATTTAAAATTATTAATCTCACTTTGATAATTAACATAAAAATTCAGGGAAAAAATTCCACTTTTAATTTTCGTACAACATAACACAAAAAAAATATTTTTTTTAAATATATACACGTGCGAAATGATATGGTTTGCCAATAAAATAGAAGTATAAAAAAAAGTTGAATTTTTGGAAGAAAGGCGATATGCTACAAAGCATGAAAAGGGAAGGATTAGAAAGAAGAAAGATAATGCTACTTAATATAAAAAGCCAGATGTTTGTACTGATGTGTTTGTAATTAGCAATTTACCCTAAAAGGATCAAAACAAAACATATTTCGTACTTAAAAAAATAAGATTTAGGAATATAAACTTACTTAAACAAAACGAATATTTGCGCAAACATAAAAAAAACTCACAAAATAAAATAATTAGTGTTTTACAAATTTCACAGGTTAACAAAAATATTTTAAAACTTTTAATTTTGATAATCAAATACAAAAATAAATGATAAAGGACAATAAAGGGTTGAAGCAGTAATTAGTGCGTATTGAACATACAATAACTTACATACTTTACATGATGACATTTTGATATCGCCTTTTGTTATTTATTTTTGTATTTGGTATCTTGTAAAAATAATAATAGTCCTTAAGTGATTATACATATTTTTTGCTTTAATAGCATTGATAATATAACTAATATCACTATTTTCTTTATAGTTCAAATACAATTAACAATATAAAGTGTCATTACAAACTTAAACTTAATACGAAATAATGTGGTATAAAATAATGAATACTTTAATCTTTTAATCTTCAAGACATCCTTTATATATAGAATATCTCTAAATTGTGATATCCCTTAGTAAAAATAAAAATCTTAACTGATTAAACAATCCAAGAGTTCTGCTTCAATATGTATATCACTGAATCGAGAGAACGACTGAAATAAGCGGGGAGTATGTTCTATGTCTAATTGATTCCTTATATAAAGTTCAATTTTTGTTGCAATTTTCTCTTTGCAAATGGTTAGCACTTCCTTGAATGTAGTAGAGTATATTATAGCTTTGTCAAATAACCTTATCGCATCCTCTAGATTTCCTCTGAAAGAAAAAAGGGATTTAAATATTTTAATTAAAATATTTTCAGATTCTTTGTGCAAAGCCTAGTTTTTCATTTCCTGGATAACTTGTGGTTAAATTTAACCAATAAGTTTCCCTCGATAGGTTTACTCATGACATTATTATATATGAAACCCATTATTAGATAAACATACCAGATAATGAAAAACCGAACCTAAATTACGTATTGGATTGATTTGGAGCATTAAAATTTTTCAACGTAAAATAGTAATTAGGAATAATTATACTAAAAACATACTTTTTTGTTTCGATGATTCCTAATATTTCATAAGGCAGTCCGAACTTTTCATCAATCTTTATCGCTTTGTGTATATATTCCATACTTTTACCAATATTACCGTTACAAAGTTGTATAAGACCTCTGTTTATATAGGCAAGTGCACACTTTGGATCTTTCTCGATTACCTTCGCAAGATAAGTATCAACCTTTTGATATTGTTGAAATGATAACATTATCTATATCAATGAATAAAAATTTCACCAATTAATCAAAATTTACACAACACAATAGTATTAACTTATATATATATATATATATATA